AAAGATACGCGACCAAATTATACAGGGTGTCCCAAAAAAAACGACCCATCTGGCATTTCGCCGTATTACAACCAATCGGCCCCAAATTTGGATGAGAGGTGTATCAGACCCTAAATAACAACAATCCTGACTTTTAGCGCTGTAGCTACAGTCATTCTCGAGTTATAACGAAAATACTGTTTTTGACGCAATTCTGAACAGTTTTTTCGGCTATCTTTTTGGACGTTGCATCGATTTGCATCCACTTCCGGCTCCGAATCCCTAATTTCGCTTAAGAACTTGGGTAATTTTGTGTTGTAAAAATCGCTTAATTCAACGTTTATTTGATTAATTCTGGTCCGGAAAAATTTCTTCAGGTAAAGAAGGCCTACCCAATCATTTTAACTTAATGTCTAGGGGGTCTAACTCCACGGAAACCCTATGAAAAATGGAAAATAAAGTTTATTTTCGTTATAACTTTAAAACTACTGTAGCTATGGGGCTATAATTCAGGATTGTTGTTATTTGGGGTATGATACACCTCTGGTCCAAATTTGGGACCGATTCGATGTAACACGGCGAAATGCCAGATGGGTCGTTTTTTTTGGGACACCCTGTATAAGGTAGGATGTGCGTAATTTTTTTATCTATCGAACTAGAGCGGCGATTTTGGGAATACGGTCCGGGGAGGGGAGTTATGAGCGAAAGAAGAGCGGCACTCTTAAAATTTTTGGGGAGTGGGGGAAGCCCCTCTCGTGCGCGCCTTCCCATAGATCCGAACGGCCGTGCCAGAAATAGCTTACTCAAAACGTAAAGCGAAATCTGCGTGGAGAAACTAAATCCCTCTTCGAGTCGGAATAGCGCTTTCCATGGATATTCACGGGGAATTTTTAGGGCCCTACGACGCAGTAGAAGCAGAGTACCACAAATCGCTGGCGTTTCCCCAGGTGGCGGACAAGGTAAGGCAAAGATTATTTCTTGAATCGACCAGCAAAATTCGATTAAAATTCCCAAAACCTCGAGTGCTTTGCTAGAGTTCGGCCGAATATTAAAAAGCGTAGGCAAAATTTTTTCAAAACAGCACAGGGAGGCTTCTCGTGTAAACAATCAGTGCAGGTCACCTGCAAAATCGAAGATGGGTTGACAGCGAATATACGTGCCGAAGATCTGATCGAGAAGGTAGCCCTAAAAAATTCAACATCAACTACAACGTGTTCAGTTACTAGCGCGTCACCGTTATGTCCACCTGGAACTTACACAACGCGAGCAAAACCATTTGCTGCACGTGCATGGGAGTAGCGAGCGGATCCTGAGATTTCTACTTTCAGGTATTTTCCTCTCAAAAAAATCCCGAAATTCTATCGTCACTTTTAAGCTTCGCAAGGGCTTCACGACGACAAAGTGCATCTTCTACCTGAAATTTAGCGGATTCGGCGCGGGCTTTACCCCACAACAAGTCGAGCAGGTGCGTGCAATCAGCAACGGCGATAACACAAGCTAAAGCTTAGCTTAGTATCGGCTTAGCTTAGACTCCGGCTTAGCTTACCCTAGGCTTACCCCTAGCTTAGCCTAGGCTTAGGCTTAGCTTCTGGGCGGGGTGAAGTACCCACGCTGTAGCTTGGCTTTGTAAAAGCTTCACTGATTTCCTTACAAGTCCCAGATTTTACGGCGGGAACCTACGGGCAATACAAAAGCGGCGCTTTTTTTAGAATTATGCGTGTGAGCTGTTTACGGCCCCGTTACAAAAACTGCTCACGCCCGCCGATGTCGAAAATACGCTAATGTACGTTGGATCGGATTTAGGAGTGGTGGGTGAATTTGTCTGCTCTTAATCTGCGCAAATCCTGGGTGCGACTGCCCTTACTTTCAGACAGGGTTCTTCGCGGATGGACCAGGATCCGATCCGAAAAATGCCCAACCCTGCTTTCAGACCAACTGAACTATCTACGCCGTACATTAACCCGTCTTATTTTCAGAGGCAAGCTAGCTTCATGATCGGCTTCAATTATGGCTCAGACGAAACTTCGACATTTAATCGTGACGCGAGAACCAGATGGATGCGATTTGGTCCATACATGATGCGTCAACTTGTCTTCACATTTGAAACCCTATAAATTCGTTTGACCACGGCTGACGCAAGAGGTACCAAGCGTGCCGATATCAAAAACACGCTAGTGTAAGTTGCATCCGATGCAGGAGATGGATACCGTATGGTGCATGCAAGATGCGCAAACTTGTCTGGGGATCTTTTAATGGCTTCTCTAACGTTTTAAGGATATTTTAACAAAAATTTAATTTATGGATCAAAAACTAAAACCCTCATTGGGCTTATGGTGGAAGCTAAGGTGCTGAAATGTCGTTTTCGCGAGTTGCAGAAACGTCATGCTCCCCGAAAAAATCACTCTCGTTTCGAAGAGTCCTAAATACAACGGAACCGATCAGCTGTAACATAAAAGAAAATTTCAAACCAGCCGTTGAGCTGGACTGCTTTGCGCAGACTCGCGGCACAACTACAAGGAGGACAACTGATCCAAACATGCTGAAAAATACTAAAAATTCGATATTTCGGGGGGCATTTGGAGCTAAATAAGTCGCTCCAGGATCTACAAAAGTCGTAAATCCAACATTATTCTTCAGTATTGCTGCAGTAACAGTCCGATTTTCATTCAAAAACGATAATTTCATACTCGCATACATATTTCGACCAGCGACTTGTGCGATCTGGCGCTGCCTTTAGCACGAGCACACAAAAATCAAGCGTTTTTCTTCGTTTTTCTTCGACCTATAGGTCCTACAAAGTTCTTTTAATGCTCACTAACTTTTTGAACACGCGCTCGGCGACCAGATGGGAATTACGGCATTGAGGTGACCTTTCTGGCGACCTTTCCGATATTCCACTGCCTTCTCATTTGGTCACAGGGAGTCGAACGAATCTTAGAATCCTTATTTTTCAGTTTTCTAATTGGAAGACTAGATCCATTGTTCCAGGATGTCGCATTTCCCCTTCTTTTCACTCCCCGCTGTGTGCCAAAAACTTGTCTGCGATCGTTTGCTGCTAGTCGATAAATTGGATTGTAGAAGGGCATGTAAGGTGAGTGCGCTTTTCCAGACGAAGCTATCAAATTGAACACAAACTGGAATTCCCTCGAGCTAAACAGCGTATTTCTCCATAACTTCCGTTCATTTCTAGCGTCTCGCTCACGTCATCGTCGAGTCGAAATGGATCCCGCGCCGTTGGACTCAACTCAAAATCCTCGAAGTAACGATCCTACCTTATATAATTTTGGCGTGTAACTGTGTGTGTGTGTGGGTGGATGTCACTTTCGCGGCCCGATTTGAGGGCCTTCCCGTGTCCAAAACGCCTCAATTCTCCGTCACCCGGGGGAATCGACCCTTCTGTTTCCGATGGCGTTTTCAGAATTGCGATAAAATACAAGTTCAAAGTTAAAGCCGGTTCTATTCATTTTTGGGGTCCCCGATGGCTAATTTGCATCATGTGAAAAAAAAGAAATTTCCTCATTCTTGCAAGTTGCGCTCGCGTGTGTGGTCGGGCGGCGGGGGGTCCGCAGGACCCTGGCTATCGGAAAGCCAAATTTCTCATGCAAAGGCCGCATTCCAGCGCCCAAGGCCCGCGAAGCGGGTTTTGGGCGCTGGTTTAAAATACTTTCGAAGTGGCGTTTTTGAGAGATCGCCCCGGGATTCTTAAACATCCGGTTCGATTTTGCGACCAAATGCCTGGGATGTCAGGCGGCCAAATGCCGCATTTTAGACAACTGCACCTATTTACCTACCGTTTCGAGCGTTACCGCGGCTACTCTTCGTGGAATTATTCGTTTCGTTTCAGGGATGTGGTCTCCGCTTGACGTGTAGACCAGAATTTATCTCGGTGCATTCCAGCCGGATCGGCGACGATCTCTTTTGCCTCCAATTCTTCTTGGACGAGTGAGTAGGAATGCACTGGCCCGCAGCAGCATTCGGAATCACGAACAAAATTCGGTACACATAGGATAACGGGGGGGGGGATAAAATAACGGGGGGGCACTCATTATTATGAAATTTGCAATTACTGAGGGATTTTACGAGTGTCATTCGATAGAGCGTCGAAAAATATACTAAGAGAATTAATTTGAGCCCAAAATAATGTAATGGAAATTTTTTATTGGATAAACAAAAATTGAGGAAAATCTATGGGCAGCACATAGGATAACGGGGGGAAGTCAAATTTTCGAAATTTTCGGTATTTTAAAACGTCATTCGATAAAGCGTCGAAAACTGCCCTAGGAGAATTAATTTCAGCCCGAAATAATGTAAATTAAATTTTTTATCGAATAAACAAAAATTGATCAAAATCCATGGGCAGCACATAGGATAACGGGGGAAAGCCAAATTTTTGCGATTTTCGATATTTTGAAAGCGCGAATCGATAGAACATCAAAAAATATACTAAGAGATTTTTTTACAACGCGAAAAAAATGTATTATAAAAGTTTTATAGCCTAAAAACTATTTTTGAAAACTATGGGCAGCACATAGGATAACAGGGGGGGAAAAATTTTTCGGCGTTTTGAATATTTTCGATATTTTGAAAATGCCATTCGATAGAGGACCGAAAAATATACTAAGAGTTTTTTTTACAGCCCGAAAAAAGCATATTTAAAAATACTTTTATCATATAAAAAGTTTGAGTGCCCCCCGTTATTTCCCCCGCTATCCTATGTGTACCCAAAATTCTACCCAAATATTCCTCGATCAGCTCTGTCGAAGCATTTTCTAATTTGGAGGCGTCGCCCATCTGCAGGAGCGTAGCCAGAAAAAAAATTTCGGGGGGGGCCGAGAAACTTTTTCCGAAAACTCAAAAAACTAATGCGAAAACAGCGCCGCAGGCAAAAAATTTTGGAAAAAGGCTACATAGCTCTACAAATAGCAGTAAAAACGTGCAAAAATAGCGCCGCAGGCGGCAAAATTTTTGAAAAAATAAAGATCATAAGGGTCCCCCCCCTCTTATGAAATTTTCGGGCCCCGGCCGATTTCGGGGCCGGGCCCAGGGGGCCCACCTTACGCTACGTCCCTGCCCATCTGACGAGTTCCATTCGCTATGCCGAATTTTGCTATGCCGATTGACGCTGTGCCGATTTCCGCTATGCCGAATTTTCACTATGCCGAATTTTCACTATGCCGAATTTTCACTATGCCGAATTTCGCTATACCGAATTTTCACTATACCGAATTTTCACCATGCCGATTTTCACGATACCGAATTTTCACCATGCCGAACCTGCGCCATACTAATTTTGATAAGCGGTATGTTCCCCATTTTTTTTTACTATTTTTCCAAATATCATGGGCCTAAAAAGTTAGAGTTAGCCTAGAAATTCCCAACAACTCGGGCAGATCGTAGGTCCCGTAGGCGCAGTAGATTTTTGTTGCACCGCTAAATCCGAGTCGATCTTAGTTATTAACATTAGTAGAGTAGAAAAGATTAGTAGAAAAAATTCGGCATAGCGAAATTCGGTATAGCGAAAATTCGGTATAGTGAAAATTCGGCATAGCGAAATTCGGCATAGTGAAAATTCGGCATAGTGAAAATTCGGTATAGTGAAAATTCGGCATAGTGAAATTCGGCATAGCGAAAATTCGGCATACCAATAATCGGCATACTGTAAATCGGCACAGCGAAAATCGGCACAGCAAGTATTTACCCCATCTGACAGACGCAACATTGCTGTTACTTTCATTTCAAGTTTCCTCACTCTAGTTTCTACTTAACTCTCTAGTTTCTTTTTTCTTTTTTTTAAAGATATTTCTTAAAATTTAATTATGCCCTAAAAACGCGAGTGAACTACCCCCCGCTAACAGTACGTAGAAGTGTCTGTTTTTCACAACAATTCAGGCAATTCTCGGAATGGCGGAAAACTGGCGCTTTTCGTTTTTGAGATTCGGTTTTTTATTCTTAGTTCTGACCAAAAACCGTGAAAAAGGGTGAAAAAGGAAGAGACAGAGAAACCCTTCCTGATCCGAACTCCTTCCGGACCGCTAGCGGAGTACATTTTTTGGGACGCCCTGGAACAGGTTTTCGGGGCATTGAAGCATCTAAAAGTTTGCTACAGCCAGCCTTTTTTCAGTTTTCGCCACAAGTTTCCGCGGGTTCGGCACTACCGGTATGGCCTGTGGGCAAGCGACTGGTATCGAGTATTCCACAAACTGTTTGGGCATGTTGCAATCGTGGACCTCGAAGTTCGTACAGCTCCGGTATGTTAGTACGCCCTTTCGGAAACCAGGGCTCTCAACCTGCTAGAAACCGAGGATGGGGGCAAAAATTACGATTCATGAACAAAAAAATTTTTTACATAGCCCAACTTTCCGCAAAAACCTGTAAAAATTCCTCGGCCATGAAATTCTTCAAAATTCAGGCACCAAACGAGGATCTATGGCTGCGACTAGTGAGGACGCCATCGCATCTGCAGTTGTTAGGTGCATCATCGTGCATTCTGAACGTTTGCTATAACCTATAAAATCTAGGACTTTTCCAGGACCCTTCTCCGAAGTAGCAGAAGCCTACCACAAATCGATGGAGGTACCAGAGGTGGCGGACAGGGTATGGAAGCACAATGCTTGAGTTTCGATGGCTTTTCCCAAAATTGTCATAAAAATTGACTCAAAATTCCTAAAAACCGGTCGGAAACCGTGTATTTTCGGAGTATCTTGATGAGTAAAATAATCCTTGTAGGTAACCTGCGAAATCGACCATGGGTTGACGCCGAATATGCCAGTCGAAGACCTGATGGAGAGGGTAACGTTCACATAAAATATATTTCATTTACAGCAACTAGTTACTATGGCGCCACAGTTTTGTCCGCCTGAAGCTCAAACAAACTGAGCCAGCAGACTTACTGCACGTGCGCGGGAGTAGCGAACGCATCATCAAATGTCTACTTTCCCAGGTAATTTTTCTCTGAATAAACCCTGAGTCTATCGTCACTTTTAAAGCGCCGCAAGGGCTTTACGTCGACAAAGCGCATCTTCCACCTCGAATTTAGCGCACTCCACCGCCACGGGTCTTTTGCAGACGACGCGAAGCAGGTAGGTGGAATGAAAAGTGGGTATCATCCTCGCAAGCCTAAAATTTCACCGCGGGAACCTGCGACTAGTTTTGAAACGGTTTCTTTTTTAGGTTTACACACCTGAACTATTTGCGCCCCAGTTGAAGATGCTGCTCAAGCCTGCCGACGTCAAGAACACGCTGATGTACGCTGGATCGACTTTAGGAAACGTGGGTGCATCTATTACTCGTAATCTACGCAAGTTTCTAGCGGTTAGCGTAATAAAGTCTATCGGAATTTTTGGAATCACCCTTAAATGGCCAAAAAGGCGCCGGAATTGAAAGGTATTTTCGTCTCTGCAGGAAGCGCCTCCGACGTCGAAAAAAATCATGTCATTACCCAAGCTCATCGTTCAGACGGCTTTTTGACTGTACCCTGGGCCATCGCATTTTCAGTGGGACGTCTCCTTCATCGTCGGCTTCAATTATGGCCCTCACGAAATGCCAGCATTCCGTTACGACGCCAGAAATAAAGATTTGCCGTATGGTCCCTTCCTGATCTGTCCACCTGTCTGGAACTTTGAAAATCAATAAATTGTCTAGAAAACGAGGTGTATGCTAACATTAAATGCGAGAGGGAGAGATAGAGAGAGAGGAAGAGAGAAAGAGAGAGCGAGAGAGATAGAGAGAGAAGGGCTACTAGAAAATCTTGCGCCCCTTTCAATCACCTAGAATCCCGTTGATAAGTAAGTAATAAATTGTTAGTATTGTGCAGTAAGTCTTTAATGAGTTAATTCAAATTCGAAAGAAGAGGAACAAAAAAAGAGAAAGAAAATCCTCTATCGAATTATATAATAAGACAGGCGCTGCGCTTTCAACCCAATTTCCATGCAAAAAAAATAATTTCGTGTACTCTGGTCTGGAAATGTGCACGGGATCCCGTAAAATCCCACGTTTGTGCACGGGATCGCATGAAATCCCGCGTAATCCCGCGTTTTACGCACGGGATCCCGCGAGCCGAATTTGCGCAGGGGATCCCGTGATTTGGGCGCGGGATCCCGCGGGGATCCCCCGCGCAGATGACGGGATCCCGTGGGCATCCGCGGGCCGAGTCTACGCACGGGATCCCGCGGGATCCCGCACCCAAATCACGGGATCCCGTGCGCGCGGTTGTAGTTTGTACACGAAATCTCCAAGCACGATCGATCGAAAGCATTCTTATTATTTTTTTTATTTTTAACGCTATGTTTAGATGCTAGCAGTTAAAACAAAATATCTATGTACGGACGCCGACGGCATGAGGTAGGTCACCAGGTATGTGGATTTCCTTCAATGATCTGCTTTTGGCGGACGGATAAGATTGATTGTTTCTTTTTTTTTGATTTTGATTCTGAGTTAATAATCTGGTTTAGCATGCTGCTGCGATCAAGGACCAATAACTTCCAGGTGGGTGAACGGAAATGATGGAATAGTTGATTTGGATTTTCGTCGACACAACGCTAGTAATCATTTGAATTCTAATTCTATGAAACTTAAGCTACTGGGCGTCTCTACGATCCTGCTCGGCCACTAGCTTTTCCTTTTGACTTTTCCTTTATTATGCAACTTATCATTTTTATTGTGAACCAACCGTATCCTACTTCTTGTTTCTGCCTCTTTTTTCATGAGATTTTTTGCAGCAATAAAGTAATTTTATATATCTTCAAGCTTGTTTTACAAGTATCAGGTTGGAACGAAAAGTTCTGTCGCCGAGATTTTGGAAGGCTGGCTAAATTCGTAGATAGCTCCATTCTGGACATGCGATATGTCATTTTGTAGCTCTCGGCCTGAATGGTTCCGGGAAGAGGGTCCTGGGCCCTGAAAATCAAGAACGGCCGAGATACAGGCCCAAGAAGATTTTTCAAAAATTACGCGAAAGTGTTTTTGCAAGTTATCTCTGCATGGAGCAATTTGTATGCGATACCCTTAACGCCAATCGATAGATCTCGAGGAGTAGATATCGATAGATGTTGAGATCAACAAAATTGGACATCGGATGGCCGAGATATGGCCACTTGAAATTTGGCCCATTCCTTAGAACTTTTCTCGATTTCCCATACATTTTCAAACATTTGACGGACAGGTGCCGAAAATTACCGCTTTATTTTTGGACTAGCGGCGCGGATTTTGAAAAATGTATGGGAAATCGAGAAAAAGTTCTAAGGAATGGGCCAAATTTCAAGAGGCCATATCTCGGCCATCCAGTGTCCAATTTTGTTGATCTCAACATCTATCGATATCTTCTCCTCGAGATCTATCGATTGGCGTTAAAGGTATCGCATGCAAATGTCTCTATGCAGAGATAACTTGCAAAAACACTTTCTCGTAATTTTTGAAAAATCTTCTTGGGCCTGTATCTCGGCCGTTCTTGATTTTCAGGGCCCAGGACCCTCTTCCCGGAACCATTCAGGCCGAGAGCTACAAAATGACATATCGCATGTCCAGAATGGAGCTATCTACGAATTTAGCCAGCCTTCCAAAATCTCGGCGACAGAACTTTCGTTCCAACCTGATACATAGCGTAAAGAACCTAAATCCAATAGGAAAGAGCTGGAATACAAGCTAATTAAAAATAAAACAAACCAACGCGATCCCATCGAATCCCTACATTTACACACGGGATCCCCTGTTCGGCGCACGGGATCCCCTGTTCTGCGCACGGGATCCCGTGGGATCCCGCGGAATCCCGCATTTTGCGCACGGGATCCCGTGGGATCCCGCGGAATCCCGAATTTTGCGCACGGGATCGCACGGGATCCCGCGGGTAAAACGTGCGACGTCCCACGGGTAAATCGCGGGATCCCGTGCACATTTCCAGACCAGAGTAGGCGCTGGCGCCGTCTGATGTATAACCCCCGAAAAATCAAGCGTTTTTCTTCGTCCTAGTTCCTAAGAAGCCCCTTTAAGCTCATTTTCCAAAGTCACCAATGGTGCGGAAACTTTTTGAACACCCCCCTAGGCGGCGAGATGGGAATTACAGCGTTGAGTTGACCTTTTTGATGCACCACGTGCTTTCTCATTTAGTTCTGGCCATTCAAGAGAGTCTTCAAACCTTTATTTTTCAGCTTTCCAATTGGAAGACCGATCTCCTATTATTCCAGAATGGCGCATTTCCCCTTCCTTTCACTCCCCGCTTTGTGCCAACAAGCCGTATGCGATCATTTGCTGCTGATGGGGAAGATGGACGGTAGAAGGGCATGTAGGGTGGGAGAACCTTTTTAGATCACGGTAGCAAACTGAAATCACAGCTAGCTAAAGAGCTAATAATGTATCCCAATTTACAATGATTTCCAGAGCCTCGCTCACGTCATCGCCGAAACGCCATGGGTGCCGCGCCGCTTGACAGGTCTCCGCGTCTACATGGTATCGCTCAAAAACCGTATTCGAAGCTGCTTTCCTTTGAAAGACGATTCTCTAGAATTAATTCGCAATTAAAAGATGTGAAAAAGCTCAGCATTTTTGATCCTTGAGAGATTTGAGAAAAAATTTAGAGATTTATTGGGGGATTTCGACGACCGTGCTTAAAATATATGGGATGATTTTGTCGTTCTAGGGGAATCTCTTCTGGTGCGGTAGACACGAAGCGATCTCGGCGTCTTTCTATACTGCCGGCAAGCGCTTTCAGCTCGACTTCTGCTTGGCCGAGTGAGTAATATGCATAGCGCCGACCGGCAATTGATACGAGCATAAAATTTTTCTTTTTAGCTTTCATCTAACTCGGAAGTCTCGGAACTATATGTACTCCGCATATACAAGTGACTGGTATCTAGTATTCCACAAACTTTTCGCGCATGTTGCAACCGTGGACATCGAAGTTGCTGCAACTTCGGTAAGTCCAACGGACGCAGCAGGGGCGAGCCAGAAAAATTTCGGGCGAAAATTTTCGAAAAACTCAAAAAATTAACGAGAAAACAAAATTTGGAATCAACATTTTGGAAAAAAGGCTAAGTAGCTCTACAAATAGCAGTAAAAACGGGAAAATGGGCCGCAGGCAGCAAAATTTTGAGAAAATAAAATCATAAGGGTCCCCCCTATGAAATTTTCGGCCCCGACCGATTCGGGGGCCGGGCCCAGGGGGCCCACCTTACGCTACGTCCCTGTACGCATGCGGCTCATCGAATTTTTGCGGGCGCATTTTGCGCCCGAATTTCGCGGTGGGAAACAGAATCCTAAGCCCACGCTAGGCATAAACCCAAGCCTATGTATGCTCTTTAAAAAATACGGCCCCCAATCAGCTCCAAAAAACGGAAGCGTTTTGCCGGGGGACGGAAAACATGCCGGCAACCCTAAAAGCGTTTTCGTGTAAAAGGGGGCCCGTCCGATCAAGCAGTATACGATTCCAGCAAATAAAACGTTTTTTTGACACCCCCGAACTGCTGGAAACTTGTTCGGTCATGAAATGCTTGATATCCAGGGGCCGGCCGACGACCTATGGCTGCGACTACTGAGGACACCGTCGCATCTGAAGTTGTCCGGTGTCGTCATGCCCCCCAAAAGTTTGCTAGTCGCCAAGTCTGATTTGTGCCTTTCATCATGGAAAAACCTAGGGCTTTTTCAGGAGTTTTCGGCCAAATAGCAGCAGCCTACTACAAGACTTTGCAAGTTCCAGAGGTGGCGGACAAGGTATGGGGCGTAAAGTTTTAATTTTACTGGAGCTTCACAAACTTGTCAGCACAATTCGCTAGCAATTTCAAAAATCCGGCGGAAATTGTTTAATCTGATGGCCAAAACAATCTCTGTAGGTAACTGTCGAAATCTATCGGGGGTTGACGCCGAACATGCCGGTCGAAGACTTCATGGAGAAGGTAGCGTTAACATAAAGTATCTTCCACAACAATGATCAGCTACTATGGCGCCACAATTTCGTCCACCTGACGCTCAAACAGACTGAGCCAGAAGACTTGGTGCATGTGCGCGGGAGCAGCGAACGCATCATCAGATTTCTGCTTTCCCAGGTAGGTTTTTCTGAATAAATCATGAGCGTCCATCTCCATCTTTGAAGCATCGCAAGGGCTTTGCGTCGACAAAGCGCATCTTCTACCTCGAATTTTGCGGACTCGGCGGGTTTTTTTCAGGCGACGCAGAGCAGGTAGGAGGAATCAAAAGCCGGCTTGATGCTGGCGAGTGTTTGATTTTCGCTACTTGGTCGCAGAAAGCTGAGACTAGCCTTGGAAACCGTTATTTTTTTAGGTTTACGCACAAGAACTGTTTATTGATCCGTTAAAAATGCTGATCAAGCGTGCCGATATCAAAAACACGCTAATGTACGTTGAATCAAATGCAGGATGGGTGAGTGAATCTATTGTTCTTAACCTCGGCAACTGCTGGTTCGGACTTTACTTACTTTCCGATCAATAAACTTTCTTCATTGTACCTTCCCAACTTATTTTCAGAGGAGCGCCATCTTCATGGTCGGCTTCAATTATGGCCCTCAGGAAATTTCGGCACTTCGTTGGGATGCCAGAACGAAATCGATGGCACATGATCCAAACAAGATGCGCAAACTTGTCTGGGGCTCTGGAAAGCAATAAATTGTTCATAACACAACGGAGACAAAAAGCAGAGTGGTTTATTCAAATAATCACTTTCATCGGCTGAGAAACGTTGCACAACGTTCAGAACGGAACGAACGAAACGAAACGTTATACAAGCGTGTAGGGGAATTAGGGGGAAGTCGGCAAAAAAACTCAATACAAAACAAGTACAAACAGTCAACAAGTACAAAAACCCTAGGTTCTTTCGCATTATCGGGGCGGGGGCGAATTTTTTTGTATCAGTCTAGAAATTTAAAAACGTCGAAGTTTTGGCCAAAAATCGGCCATTTTCGGTGGAAAAATCGATATTTTCTTTTCCAAACTTGTAAAGTTGTCAGGTTTAAGAATAGTAAACAACCATTTAGAAACACTTCGCGATTTATATTTGAAAAACTAGATCGTGAAGTGCTACGTCTCTTTAATGCTCCTCGCCCACATTTCCAATAGTGCAGAAAATTTTGAACACCCCCCTCGGCGACCAGATGGGAATTACGGCGTTCGGGTGCGCTTTCTGATGCGCGAAGGGTTTTCTAATTTAGTTCCGGCCATTCAAGGGGGTCTTCGAACCTTTATTTTTCAGCTTTCCAATTGGAAGACCGATCTATTATTCCAGAATGGGGCATTTCCCCTTCCTTTCACTCCCCGCTTTGTGCCAGCAAGCCGTATTCGATCATTTGCTTCTTATGGATAAGATGGACGGTAGAAGGGCATGCAAGGTGAGAGCGCCGAGCGCTAAAGGGTAACTGAAATATCATTGCGAGCTTAACGGCTAGTGTTTCCCTAATTTCCATTGATTTCTAGAGACTCGCTCATGTCATCGTCGACTCGAAATGGATCCCGCGCCGTTTGACGGAAGTCCGCGTCCACAAGGTGGTGCGAATTAAAAATATTCTTCGAAGCTGCTTTCCTTTGAAAGAAGATCATCTACAATTAATTCGCAATTTAAACAAGTGAAAAAAGATGATCGTGTTTTGATCCGCGAAAAATTAAGGGCTTTACAAAATTGTTAGGGTTTTTTTTTTGAACGAAGCCGCTTATCAGATGTGCAATGATAAATATTTATCGTTCTAGGGGAGCCTCTTTTGGTCGCAGGGACGCGAATTGATCTCGGCGGCTTTCGATCGTGTCGGCATTGGCTTTCGTCTCAAGTTCAGCTTGGCCGAGTGAGTCCGCACGCACAGAGCGATTGCGCGAAATTGCTACGGGCGGAACAGTCTCTATTTTTAGCTTTCCCCGGCTTGGGGGGCCTCTGCACTACGGGTATGCCGCGTACACAAGCGACTGGTATCGAGTCTTCCACAAATTTTTTGCGCATGTCGCAGCCATGGACGTCGAAATTGATGCGATAACGGTATGTCATCACGCGTATACGTAATCCACCCACCGATTTTTTGCGGTACGCATTTTGCGGCGCGAAAGCATCGTCCTAAGCCCACGCTAAGCCTAAACCCAAGCCTATGGCCCCCAATAAGCTCCAGAAAAAACACGGAAGCGTTTTGCCGGGGGATGGAAAACTTGCCGGCAACCGTGAAAACGTTTTGCGTGTAAAAACGGGCCCGTTCGATTGAGCAGGAAGTACGATTTCAGCAAATAAGTCGTTTTTTTGAGACCCCCGAACTGCGGAAACTTGAAAACTGAAAGTAGGGTCGTCGAAAACCCCCAACATGAAATGCTTGATATCCAGGGGCCGGCCGACGACCTATGGCTGCGACTACTGAGGACACCGTCGCATCTGAAGTTGTCCGGTGTCGTCATGCCCCCCAGAAGTTTGCTAGTCGCCAAGTCTCATTTGTGCCTTTCGCCATGGAGAAACCTAGATAATATAAGGCTTTTTCAGGAGCTTTTGGCCAAATAGCAGCAGCCTACCACAAGACTTTGCAAGTTCCAGAGGTGGCGAACAAGGTATGGGGGCGTAAAGTTTTAATTTTACTGGAGCTTCCCCAAAATCTTTAGCCAAATTCGCTAGCATTTCCTAAAATTCGGTGAAAAGTGTTTATTCTGATAGCCAAAACAACCTCTGCAGGTAACTCTCGAAATCTTTGGGGGGTTGACGCCGAACATGCCGGTCGAAGACTTCATGGAGAAGGTAGCGTTAACATAAAGTATTCATCCTCAACATGATCAGTTACTATTGCGCCACCGTTTTGTCCACCTGAAACTTCCACAAATCAATCAAGAGGACTTGCTGCATGCGCCTGAGAGTAGCGAACGCATCATCAGATGTCTGCTTTCCCACGTAGGTTTTTGCTGAACAAATCCTGAGAGTCTATGGCCACTTTTCAAGCGTCGCAAGGACTTTGCGTCGACAAAGCTCATCTTCTACCTGGAGTTTTGCGGACTCGTGGGACGTTTTCCCCGAGAAGAGGCTAAGCTGGTAGGCGCATGCAAAACCTGGTCGGATCCTGGCAGGCCCTAAATTTGACTGCCGAAACCTAAGACTAAGTCTTGGAAACCTTTTTTTAGGTTTACACACCAGAATTGTTTACTGACCCATTAAAAAGGCTGATCAAGCCGGCCGACGCCAAGAACATGCTAATGTACGTCGTGTCCGGTTCAGGAGTGGGTGAATCTATCGTTCTTGGTCTACGCAATTTCCGGTCCGGATTTGACCTTTTCAGATCAGCTAAACTTTCCCGAATCTTATTTTCAGCGAAACGCCACGTTGATGATCGGCTTCGATTATGGCCCGCAGGAAAGTTTGGCATTTCGTTGGGATGGCAGAACGAGATCGATGCCATATGCTCCATACAAGATGCGCAAAATTGTCTGGGACTTTGGAAATCAATAAATTTTCATTACACGACGGTGAGGAGAGGCCGAGTGCTTTCTGCAAATAGTACCTTTATGCGGCTGAGCAACGTCACAAACGTTACAAACTCAATCGACAAGAAGGACAAAAATACCACTAAATTGAGCCACAAGGTGTGCTGAATCGACGATCATTGGCTTGCTACTTTCTATACAAGGAAAATCCTAGTGATTTTTCTAAAATAATGATTGACATCTTGCATAGCCAAAGAAAATTATCTATCGAATTAGCTAACAATAAGAAGGACCTTCAAAGGGCTTAATCTACCATTCGCTCGATTAAATGTCTCTGCGTCTTTTTCGCCGCACTATCAGCCCGATTTTCATGATTTCATGTAAAAACGGTAATTTCATAGTTCTGTTTGCCTAAAACTGGCGATTTGGAGCCGCGAATGGCACTTAAAGGAGCTGTCTTATGCATAAACACACAAATATCAAGCTCTTTTTGCGTCCCATGGATGCTGCTGCCCTTTAATGCTCATTGTCCACAGTCATCAATAGTGCAGACATTTTTTTGAACAAAATATCGGCCTTCCATGGAAATTACGGCGTTGCGTTGAGGTGACCTTTCTGATCCACCAAGTGCTTTCTTATTTTTCTTCTTCTTTCTAATTGGAAAACCGGTATTAATCCAGAATGGCGCATTTCCCCTTCCTTTCACTCCCCGCTATGTGCCAACAAGCTGTTTGCGATCACTTGCTGCTAGTCGAGAAGATGGAGGGTAGAAGAACGTGTAAGGTGAGAGCGCCTCTTTAGACCGTGTACATTCGAGTTCGGGGGACGCTGATAGTAATGCAAAGAAAAGCCGAATTTTGCCTCGTTTCTAGCGGCTCGCCCACCCCATCGTCAAGTCCAAATGGATCCCGCGCCGTTTGACGGAACTCAACGTCCACGAGGTAGCGGTTTAGCTGTTTTTTTGAAGATCGGCCGCAACCTCAGCCGATAGCGTAATCTGGCAATATTTGGAGATAAACAAAACATGCGACGCCAAAAAATTCAGCCACCGTTTCGATTAGTACCGGTGTATCTCTTCATATTTTGTTCCTTCTAGGACCGTCTCAGATGGTGCGGTAGAAACGAATCGCTGCTGGCGTCTTGCATGCCTGCTCGCGGGCGATTTTCCCTCTTGTTCGACCTGAGCGTGTGAGTCTGAAACAAGCAACTTGGATCGAGCAGAAAATTCCGGGCGCTCGGCCATTCCGCCCTCTCGTGCACGGCCAAAAATGGCCGATTTCGATCAAATTTCAACTAAAAAAGGTCACGACATTTTTTTGGTTTTTTTACGACGTATATAAATACGTTTCACTAAAAGCGCTATTTAAATTTTGGGTTTTTTTCGGTTACGCGGGGGAAAATTTCCCGGGGGGGGAGGGGTTTTTGGGGGCGGTCTATATTTTTTTTTTTTTTTTTTTTACAAAAAAAAATAAATATTTTTTTTTTTTTGTGTTTTGAGGAAAAGGAATTTAAAAAGATTTATAAAAATTGGAAAAAATTATTTTTTTTTTTTTTCTTATTTCCCCTCTTTAAATAATTTTTTTTTTTTTTTTTTTTTTTTTTTTTTTTTTTTTTATATTTATTTTAAAATATTTTAAAAATTTTTTTTTTTTTTTTTTTTTTTTATTAATTTTTTTTTTAATTGAAAAAAAAGAAAAAAAGGGAATTTAAACAAACCTTTCAAACCTTATTTTTTTTTTTTTTTTATTTTTTTTTTTTTACCTTTTATTTTAATTTAAAATATTTTAAAAAAAAATTTTTATTTTTTTTTTTTTTTTTTAAAAAATTTTAGAGAAAAAATAAAAAAACCAAAAAACCAACCCCCCCCCCCCCCCCCCCCCCCCCCCCCCCCCCCCCCCACCCCCCCCCCCCAATACTTGCTATTAAATTCGGTTCCTCACCCCCGATAATGCGAAAGAACCCAATTTTTGCATATTAAGGATACAACCCTTTTCTTAGAAGGTACCCATCATTTCTAGTCATGGTATCGGAGGCCGGCACTATACGTTGCACGCCTATACGCACGACTGGTATCGAATCTTCCACAAGCTTTTCGCGCATGTTTCAACCTTCGACATCCGCGTTCGTATGTACAAGGTATGACCGTGCATGATTCTTCTCGTTTATCGCGTGACGGGGCTTTTCAGTGGCAGCAAACTTTTTCTATGTTCAGATGTGGGGCCCATTAATCCAACCTAGGCTTTCTTGCTGGGACTGTAAGCTGTTTTGAAATCAGAAAACACTATAAAAAATGCCAAAGAATCTTGAATCCGGTATTCAAAAAAGAGGAGAAAAACTGAGTTTCAAAAATTAAATTTTTACCCGTTTTGTTAACGGGGTAACTAAAACACTGCTATAATACATTGGTGTCTACACTAGACAGGCATAGGCTAAACAAAGAGTAGCTGCCACCAACCCCATATTCGTTATTCGCCTCAACGTTGATACAAAATTCGCCAAGACCCAAAAATACGCGACCTACACTACTATAATACATTGGTTTATATTCCATTTAGGTGTTACATACATTCCCCATATTTAGGTGTCGAGCCAAGATCTATGGCTGCGACTAGTGAGGACGCCATCGCATTTGACGTTGTCTGGTGCGTAGTCGTCTAGTATCCTAAAGTTTGCTATTTAAAAAAATACACCAACATCCATATCTTGCCTAACTGTGAATTGCAGTCACATAGCTTCCCGGAAATAGCTTGCTCAAAACGTAAGGCGAAGAGTGCATGCAGAAACTAAATCCCTCGTCGAGTCGGAATAACGCTTTCCAGGGATATTAACGGGGACATTTTAGGGCCCTACGACGCAGTAGAAGCAGAGTACCACAAATCGCTGGCGTTTCCACATGTGGCGGACAAGGTAATGGTGGCACAAAGCTTTTGTCTTTAATCGACCAGCGAAACTCGCTTAAAATCCCCAAGTATGGCCGAAAAATCTTTATTTTGATAGTTTTTATCTGGTCTAGTTTATTTGAGAAAACTCGTAGGAAAACTTGCTAAAAAAATGGGCTAGAGCCGCCGAATAACCATGTTTCATGGTTAAAATAATCCTTGCAGGTCACCTGCAAAATCGAAGATGGGTGGACAGCGAATATACGTGCCGAAGATCTGATCGAGAAGGTAGCGCTAAAAAATTCAACATCAACTGCAACGTGTTCAGTTGCAAGCGCGTCACCGTTTTGTCCACCTGGAACTTACACAACGCGAGCAAGTAGATTTGCTACACGTTCATGGGAGTATCGAACGCATCCTGAGATTTCTACTTTCTCAGGTAGATTTCTCTCAATAAAATCCCGAAAGGTTATCGTCACTTTTAAAGCATCGCAAAGGCTTCACGACGACAAAGCGCATCTTCTACCTGGAATTTAGCGGACTCGGGGGAGGATGACAAAAGCGCCAAAGCAAAAGCGCCAACGACAAAAGCGCCCATGCAGAAGCGCCAAACGAAAGCGCCCAATGCCAGAAAGCGCCCAATGCCAAAAAGGCCCAATGCAGAAAGCGCTCTATGGGAAAGCCAAGTATGGAGAGAGGAAACAATTACATAAAATGGCTTTTTTCAAGCTTTGTATGCCTTTTAAACGTTGTTTAGCGATAGGTAGGCTTTGTAGACGGCAAATTATCACCCCGAGCGGGTTGTTTTGGCCTTATTGGGTCTTTTTGGCTTGAATTGCCGTGTTTCAGTCTCTAGTTTTACCGGGTTTGCCTCATGTTCTCACGATTTCTGATGTTTTCAGTCACAATACTGTTGCAATCACGAAATACTTGTTATAAACAGTGTTTGGGGCCAGAAGACGAGAAAAACGCCGTATTTCGGGTAATGGATCCGAAAATGGCACTAAACAACCTTTCCACGGGAGTTTATACCTTTCTCACATTAGAAATGCATTTAGGACCGGTTCCAGCATGTAGAGATCAAGAAACTACTTCAAAAATAGTGGAAGCTGCTTTAGAAGGAACTAGCTATTCGAGTGAAAGAATGCCCTAGGAGGCGAAAATAACTTGACCCGGTCGGTAATTTATGGCCTAGTAGGTCGAACTGCCGCTAAACTACCATAATAACACCAGAAAACCTATTAAAACAGCTATTTTATCTCTACTTTATGTAATTGTTTCCTCTCTCCATACGTTGGCTTTCCCCATAGAGCGCTTTCTGGCATTGGGCGCTTTCTGGCATTGGGCGCTTTTCGTTTGGCGCTTCTGCATGGGCGCTTTTGTCGTTGGCGCTTTTGCTTTGGCGCTTTTGTCATCCTCCCGGACTCGGGGCGGGCTTTACCCGACAACAGGCTGAGCAGGTGCGTGCAATCAGCAGCGGCAAATGAAAAAAAGCGGGCCGGCGTTATCCTTACAAGTCCCTGATTTTACGGCGGAGACCTGCGGGCGATTACGACAGCGGTGCTTTTTTAGAATTATGCGTGTGAGCTGTTTACTGCCCCGTTACAAATGTTGCTCACGCTTGCCGATGTCGAAACAACGCTAATGTACGTTGGATCGAATTTAGGATTGGTGGGTGAATTCATCTGCTATTAATCGACTCAAACCCTGGGTCAGTATCCCTTACTTTGTTCGCGGGTGGACCCGGATCGGATCCGCAGTAAGGTCCAATCCGATCCGAAAAATGCCCAACCCTGCTTTCAGACCAACTGAACTATCTACGTCGTACATTAACCCATCTTATTTTCAGAAACAAGCTAGCTTCATGATCGGCTTCAATTATGGCCCACACGAAACTTCGACATTCAATCGCGACGCAAGAACTAGATGGATGCCATATGGTCCATACATGATGCGTCAACTTGTCTTTAACTCTGCAATTGGCCACGGCTATGGCCAATACAACATGCGCACACTTCTCCGGGGATCTGGAAACCAATAAATTGCCATTACACGGCGGAGGCAAGAGGCCGAGTGTCTTCTGCAAATAGTACCTTTATTCGGCTGAGAAAAGTTACATGTGAAATGAGGGGAAATTGGAATAAAACTCAATCGACAACAAGTACAAAAATACCCTAAAAATTGAGCCACAAGGCGTGCTGAATCGACGATAATTGGCTTGCTACTTTCTATACAAGGACAATCCTAGGGAGGGTCGCACAGGGGGGAAATTAAAATGAACACGCATCTCGAATGACTTTAATGGAAAATGGTGGCAGTCGTTGTAATGGCGCATCGGGCGCTTCACCATGGGCGTGGCGTCGTGCCGACGTCGAGGAGGGCCGTGCGCTTCTCGTAGGAGGGGGAGAGGTAGTCGTACTTCGACGGGTCGGAGAGCGCCTTGGACTAAAAAAAAAGCAAAATATCAATGATGTAGTAAACAAAAACATACCTGAAGTCCGGGGTACTTCTTCTCGATCTCGGCCCCGCGCAGCAGCACTGGCTTCTCGGGCGAGTGTTCGACGCCTCGAAGGTGGGCCCAATCACGCGCCTCGTACTTCCAGTAGTAGTAGATTGCCTAAAAAACAACTAGCTACAATCAATCTGCGAGGTATACCTGGAAGCCGAGGAACGCGAAGATGAACTTGGGGGCGACGACGCGGATGGCAGTACCTGAAATGAAGTTTAGATTCGAGAAACAATATTACCGTAGTAGACGCCGAAGGTGGGCTTGAGGAAGTGTAGATACAGCTTGTCCAGTGGCCACCTAAACGTAATTATTTTTGCAAACCTCTGAAAATTACCTGTAAAGCCTCCGAATCGGGTTCAACTGACGGTGGACAGCGTCGACGGCGATCGGCTCATCGGCGTGAAGATTTTGGTCCTGGAAAAGAAGGTTTAAGTTCTTACTTCAGCGAAGGCAATTATACTACGAAACCAAAACTTACAACAACCCATTTGTGGCGCCATTCACGCTCGGCGGGCGTCAGCCCACGCGCGCGCACCCTCTCGTCGGCCATGTGCATCTCCAGCGACATCGGGTTGCCGCCCCTGAAAAACGGCGTTGTGAAAAATCGCAAATTAGACAGGCCAGGCGGGCCAATAATTCAAAAAGGGCTTACCTGTGCACCGGCTTGTCGGGCAGCCCAAGTTTGGGTGGCGGCACCCCGGAGCGCGTGTAGGGCGAATTGCCCTCACGGTGAGGCTTCACATATTGGTTACCCATTACCTGAAAATTAAATGATTTGCGAGGAAATGGCGAAAGAATAGAAAGGGAAAGCGGAAATTAAAGAAATTCAATTCAATGCTCGATGTTGGTCTAGGCTGCTTTATTGCAAAGGATTATGCTGGCAGCCGCTATAACGTCAAATACTAAATTCTGGGCAGCGCTGCTAACTGCTTTTGTGAAAACAAATAGATTTCCGTTGCGAAAAGCGTAAAATTCAACCATTACAAACACCAGCTCCGGAAGGCCGACTTTCGCCTAGACAACGAGCCACAACCTGCACATGCCGCTCTGCGCACAAGTGGGAAAAAGACACCCAGAAGCGCTCCAAAGAAAACTGCGAACTCATCTTCAATCAAGAATGCAACTACGAAATCTCAATACCAATCGTTGTAGTGTAATGACAAATCAGTTTGCATTTAGCTTGTGGTCTTCGCAAAATTTATTCAATACACGCAATGATCACAACTATAGGGCCAACATGTAACAAGAACACCTACAGAGAATTGTAATGAGAGTGGGTAGCTACAGGGAAGTAATTGTTACACAGTTATAAACGCATTTCTTTAATCGATACTTGAGGCGGACGGGGCTTAGTGCTTCTGGAAGAACTCCTTGCTGTCCTTCACGCTTGGCTTGATGGTGTCCTTGCCAGGGGTCCATCCGGCCGGGCAGACCTCGCCGTGCTGAAAAAGAAAAGTTTCATAAAATATCATAAGGTTTCATTCAGAGATTTTGTAAAACGGCTAAGACTCTAGTCTAAGCCAAATTGCAAGCGAAAAAGTGGCAACCCAGGTTGAGGGTAGGTATAATTTAGCCGGGGATAGCGATACTATCTCCCATCCCAGATTCAAAAAAATTATACCTTGTCAACGAACTGGAAGGCTTGAACGAGGCGGAGCGTCTCATCGACGGAGCGGCCAACGGGGAGGTCGTTGATGGTGATTTGGCGCAGGATGCCGTTCGGGTCGATGATGAACAGACCTAAAAAATAAATTAGTTTCAAAAGGAATGGATACCGCGGAAGGCGATGCCTTCGTCCTCCTTCAGCACGCCGTAGTCCTTCGAGATTTGGTGGTTCGTGTCGGCGATCACCGGGATGTTCATGTCGCCGAGGCCGCCGTGCTTGCGGGGCGTCTGGATCCAGGCCAAGTGACTAAACAAGAGTGCTTAGAGAAGCAGTAAAAATTAGATTTACCTGAATACCGAGTCCGTTGAGCAAGCGAGCACATTGACTCCGAGCTTCTTGAACTCCTCGAAGCGATCGGAGAAGGCGATGATCTCGGTCGGGCAGACGAACGTGCTGAAGCACAGTCAAAGAAGTAGAAAGTGCACTTACAAGTCCAGCGGGTAGAAGAAGAGCACCGTGTAGTGGCCCTTGAAGTCCGAGAGCTTGACCTCCTTGAAGTCACCGTCGACGACCGCCTAAACACAAAGTTATGAAAGCGTCGATGCAAAATACCTGGGCGGTGAACTCGGGGGCGGGCTTGCCGATGAAAGCCTTGGACATCTGAAAAAGGAATATAAAAAAATGAAAGATTAAGAAATTGCAAGAAATGCGTGACGAAAAATGGCGCCCCAAAAAATGGTGATGGCGGCAGGGAACGAATCACCACTTTGCGGAAATTTCGGGAAACCGCCCGGCAAAGGCAATGCGCTGGGGGTGGAATGGGCACGGCGATAAGATAACAATTGCCATAGGCTAGGATTTTCGCAGCTTTTTGCTAAGAGGTCACACAGGAATAGTTTGAAGTTTAAAGTGATGACGAAAAGGCTGAAAAGGAGAACAGACGCGCACGAGAAGCACTAAAGGCAAATTGAGTCGAAGGAAAGAACCCGTCGGAAATTTTTGAAAAAAGGAAAGGAAAAAGAAAACCAATTCTCTGAATGATGCGATAAACCGTAAAAACGGAGGCCGTTCGAACAAGCCATTTGGGGCGCGCTTTAAAAACTACCGTAATGCACGTCCATGCGTAAGGCGCGTATCGCTTCGTAGCAAACTCACTTTGGTTTGAAAAGTTTACAATTTTAGAAAAAAAAGCAGGAGGGAGAAGGGGGAGGGCAAAAAAAAAAAAAAAAAAAAAAAAAAAAAAAAAAAAAAAAAAAGGGGGAGAAAAAGGAAAAAGGGGTAGGGAAAAAAAAAAAAAAAAAAAAAAAAAAAAAAAAAAAAAAAAAAAACCCGGCCCCCCACCCGGGGGGGGGGGGGGGAGGAGGGGGGACCTTTAATAATATTAAAAACGCTGGCTTTAAATTCGATCGCCGAATGAAGTGCCGTTTTGCTCAGAGCCTCCAGCGTCGCAAGAACCACAAATTGGCACCCATCAGAAACGAGGGCCCGGCCACGAAAAGGCCTTAGAAAGTACGTTTTACGGTAAATGGAAGAAAATATCGAAAATTAATTTTTGAGGGGACTTTTTCGGGGAGGAAAGATTGATGGAAACGATTGCGAAGCTTAATTTTCGAAAAGCTTGTTTTTGGGCTCTAGCCGTTTGCCTTGGACAAAACCTAACACCTTCAAAATGCATGCCGGAAATCTTCAGGACAAAAGTTGAAGATAAATAGCGCGGGGAATGGATTATTTGAACGTTTGCGAAGGTCTAATTAAAAAAATCTTAGTTTTTACCCTCGCCGGCAGGCAGTTTGACTTTTGAAAACCCTAGTAACTGCGAAAATTAGGGCAGAATTTTTGAGCGTAAACTAGAAAGCTAAATACCGCGGGGATTGTATTGCTTGAACGTTCACGTTGGTCCAATTCTAGAAATCTTCTTAGTTTTCAACCCCGTCGGGAAGCCGGTTGGCTTCGGAAACCCGAAATTCCTCGAAATTCATGCCGGAAGTCTTGGGGACAAAATTTAAAGCTAAATAGATATCGCGCGATTGCATCATTGGGACCGAAGAAAATTCCGGGTTCCGTTCCGTTACTGCCCGTGAAATTAGGGCTAGGCCCAAAAAAACTGGCGCCGTTTTTGGGGGCTGGCCGGTGAATCGCAGTGAAGGTCACTTCAACGAGCCGGGAGGAAGAGACCCAACAAGCGGTGGCTGCACTGGACAAATGAGGCAGTGGGCAGGTCGGGATGCACAGAGAATTCATTTTTTTCGCAGAGGGGAAAAAGGGGAGCGCTGGAATGGATTGCCTGGGCGAGCAGGGTGGGCGAAAAAGAGGCAAGAGACAGTAGCAGCGCGCGCCGGTGGTCAGTTTGCTGTAGGATTAATCGATGTGGTCTTGTCGCAGCGGAAAAAGTAGTAAACATTGGCGTTCAAAAAGGCAGCAAAACTAGTTAATTCGGTAGCCCTAATTACGCTGAAAATCCTTGCGCGACCGGCGGTTTCTGATGACAAGTTTCCGGGCTATTTTTGCACCGTAATCTAGAATTTTACATTTTTAGAGTATAAAAACTTCATTTTAGCCGCCAAGGACTGAAATTTACACCACAAACACGCGGAAAAACGTTTCCGGCGTGGACTTTGGTACCTTGCCGTCCAAACATAAACTTTTGGTTGTCCAACAAAGTGAAATTCAAACTGTAGGGTTGGCTAGCTCTAATTAGGCTAAAAGTCCTTGCGCGGGCGGTTCCTGATCAGCCTAATAACCAGTTTTTCCGGCCTATTTTCTACCCTGAATTAGAATTTCACATTGCTAGCGTATGAAACCTTAAGTTTTAGTCGCGATCGGCTTAAATTTAGGCGACAAATACACGGAAAAACGATTCCGGCGGTGTTTTGGTTTGTGTTTTATTTTATTTTTTTTTTGCAAACAAAATTTTTTGTTTCAATTTGGGGGGGGGGGGGGGTTTTTGACATCGACAACTTGGGTGTCTTTTTACGCCCTATTTTCGGTGCAGATGGGCATACAAAGTGACAGGGGCGTTTTTTGCACTTTCGAAGGTAGATTTTGGAAGGAATTTCATTGCTATTCGATGGTAGGTTCAGGAAACTAATTTTTAAGATTGATTTTCAGCTGATAATTGATTTTTAAAAGCTTACCGGGACTGTCATTGCTGTCTTGTCGCGCCGCTTATGGTTTTAGATTTTTGGCAGGCTAGCTAGTAGGCAGGGAATATAGCGCGACCGACGGCTAGCACCCGCTTAAATACCAAGCGCTGAAATTGTAACCCGAGCGGGTGGTGGGGCCATCGAATGTGCTGTGCGTAATTTGAGTGATGGCCAGGTAAATTTGCGTGAGAGCTGCGCAGAGAGTGAGAGCGATAGAGTGAGAGAGATGAGTATCGCTAAACTACCCCCAAATTTTGAGGGTAGTTTCTTGTATTTTGCCCCCGGTTCTTTCGTAATATCGAGGGGGGTAGGGACGGGGGACCAACTTTTTCCAGAGATCCAATTTTTCGATTATGAGTAGCGGAAGTGTGTCTAAGCTTTGTTTTCCTATTCTTACACGTAAAAACTTTACAGTTTGCTATGGAAAATTAGAAAAAAAAATCGAGAATTTTAACCAAAATTGCCGTTATAACCAAGATTTCGACTAAAAAATTTCCTAAGTTTTTATTGGTTTTCCACTTTAAATCCGGGTAACTTTGCTAAAAACTCGTTTTAAAATATTTCCTATTGAGGTAACTTTACATTTCTGGACTTATAGGAAAAAGTTGTCCCCCCGATATTGCAAAAGCACCTGGCCTCTCGCCGACTCACCGCATAGACGCCGGCTCGGTACATTCACGGTGTCGCTTCGATGGCTGACGAATATCCTCTTTCCGGTGCGGGATGAAGAATCAATCTTGCGACGAAGAGACGTACAATTAGCAATTCCTCAGGTGCCCCGGTTGCCATGGCGGGTCGATTAAATGGCGTGGGCAAGCGGCTAATAACCCTCATTTTGTATTCGGATAGCCGAAATTGCGGTGTCAATTTATTCCAAAAACCCGCAATTCACAAAAATCACATAATTGGTTATTACCACGACAATTTGAGGGTTGTATCGACTACAAAACGAGGACTAATTAATGAAGAGGTATCAGTCTCGGTAAAGCTGTCAAAGTACAAACTGTATCAAAAAAACGCCGAAAATCGTTACAGCTTTTCGCCGCGAATGAACCGGTCGAAACGGGTGGCGAAGGCGGCGAAGGAGAAGTGCTTCTTGACTCGTTCGGGCCCTTCTTTTGCAGCTATTTCTCTAAAAAAAAGTTTAACCAAATCGCGGATCAAGCTTTTCATTAGTACTACTTACTGCAATTGTAAAATCGGTAAAAATTGCCTAGATGGCCAGTTTTTGCAATTTTAAGAATTTCGCCTTACGGGTTCTGAATAACGCGTTTTTCTACCCCGGAGACTAGTTTATTTTCACTCAAAAGTGTTTGCGAGACTCTTAGAAGCACTAACGATGCGAATTCCTGGCGCCTTCTGACCAAAAACAGTTGTAACTTTTGAAACAGAGGCATTTTGAATTTTTGAAAATGGAGTCATAATCAGCAAAAAAATTCGGCACAAGGTGTGCTGAGGCTGTGCTACAGTTAGAAGCAAAAGCCGCTTACCGGATCCGTCTATCGATGGCCACCGTCTTCATCGCCGACGCAAAATCGGCGGGCGACTGCTCGAGCAGGAACCCGGTTTTCGTGTCGTCGATCGATTCTTTCGGACCTAGAATGGCGTAATTAGAGGAATCAATTTCGATCTGCTATTCAGATTGTCGAAAATCATTTTGTCGCAATTTCATTTTTTCCGAATTTAAATGCGCAGAAATCCCAGTTTACGTTTGTTTCAGAATGTTTGAGATGAATAATCAAGGCGAAAAGGTATTGAAAATTCGTCAAGCTAAATTTCGCCAAATTGAATAGCAACAGAATGAAAATAACCCATAAATGTTACCTCCACTATTACACGCAATCACCGGTTTCCCGAAAAACATGGCCTCGACGGGCACGATGCCAAAGTGCTCGTTTTCCGGAGTGTAGACGACGGCTGCGCATTGTTTTAGAAGGTACAGCTTCTCGGCGTCATCTAAAGTAAGTGTAGGTAGAAGCAGGCAAAAAGCCTTACTAGGAGACTTCAGGAACACCACTTTTCCTGTGGGGATTTTCAGCTCCGCGGCCAGCTCGACCAGCTCGACGTAATGCGCCTGATTCTCCACGTTTTGCTGGTCGTATCCACCGGCGATGATGAGGGCTGTCTGCTCGAACATGGCCGGAGAGAGCTCGTATTGGAGCTTCGCTAAAAAAAGTTTCTTCTTGCTGCAAAGTATTGGTCCTTTGGCATTATCGGGGGGGGGGGGCAACTTTTCGCCTAAAAGTCCAGAAACGCCTAGAAACGTAATAGTAAGTGTTTAAAAGGCCGTTTGCGAGAGACCCGAACTGCCCCCATGATGGCATGGTACAGTTTTTTTCGACCCTGTTTTTTTGACGCCATCTGAAAGAGCATGGTCGAATTAGTAGGGTCGCGCTATTTTGAGAATTTTAAAAAGTCATTTTCGGGGTTTAAATGGCCGCTAAAGTTGCGTACCTCAAAAATTTATCTCGAAAACCACACGGTGGATCTTGCTGAAAATTTTTGTCAATGTCTAATTTGGGATGGGGATCATTTCTCTAATACATTGGAAAGCACGAAAATCGCAGGAACATAGGTATATTGCGTACTATAAACAGTTTTTGAGGGTTTTCTACTACAAGGCGGGTCCGGCGCATCTTGAAACTATCATGAAAGATGCGCCGGAAAATTCTGCGTCGAATGATGTGCTTTCCAAGATGCGCCCAACTCGCCTCTAGCCGCTGTACCGATGTTTCGACGTCGAAAACCATCAAAATTGACGGTTTTTGGGAGGATTCCCGTGGGCAGGTCAACGAAAGAGTGCGGAAGGCGTAGAGAGTCGAGACAGGCAGATAACAGCCCTGGGGGAGCGAGTCGGGTGCTGCCAGAGAGCCCCCAACTTGACCACCCTAGCCGTCTCTGGCCTCTCCCCCTCTCGCACTATCCCGCATAGCCCTGCCCAGAAATCCCCCAAAAAACGTCAATTTTGATGGTTTTCGACGTCGAAACATCGGTACAGCGGCTAGAGGCGAGTTGGGCGCATCTTGGAAAGCACATCATTCGACGCAGAATTTTCCGGCGCATCTTTCTATGATAGTTTCAAGATGCGCCGGACCCGCCTTGTAGTAGAAAACCCTCAAAAACTGTTTATAGTACGCAATATACCTATGTTCCTGCGATTTTCGTGCTGTCCAATGTATTAGAGAAATGATCCCCATCCCAAATTAGCATTGACAAAAATTTTCAGCAAGATCCACCGTGTGGTTTTCGAGATAAATTTTTGAGGTACGCAACTTTAGCGGCCATTTAAACCCCGAAAATGACTTTTTAAAATTCTCAAAATAGCGCGACCCTACTAATTCGACCATGCTCTTTCAGATGGCGTCAAAAAAACAGGGTCGAAAAAAACTGTACCAAGCCAGTTCGGGTCTCTCGCGAACGGCCTTTTAAATCGTGTTTGTTAGCAAAGTTGACCTATATTTCAAATGGAAAGCCACTAAAAATTTGAAAAAATTATAGAGATGATATTGTGGTCCAAAAAAATATATTTTTGCATTTTTAATAAACTTTTTAGAATTTTACGTTTAGGAATCGTAAAAAACCTGTTTAGACATATTTTATAACTTAATTGAAAGTTTTTATTGGTTGTTAGTAGAATATAATTCATTCAAACCAGAGAAATATCTTAAAACCTTTCCAAACTCCATATTTTGGTCAAAATCGGTCATTTTTGGTCGAAAAATCGATATTGTTGTATATTTAAAAGCAAAATTTGTAAAGTTTTTACGTTTGAGATGAGTAAAAAACTGTTTAGAAACCCTCTCTCTAATTCTATTAGAAAATTGGATCCTCCGAAAAAAAGTTAGTCCCCCGATAATCGTAAAGCACCTAAGTATTCATAAAATTACTACTAACCGTATGCTCGAATCGCCAGCGCCACATTTTTCTTGCGCTCGTAGCGGTTCAGCGACAGGAACACGTGCTCGGCTTCTGGGAACTGGAAAAACGTTAACTTTCTAGTCTACAAAAATACCTGGTCGACAGGGCTAGGCTCGAGCTTGCTGAGAAGGTCTGTGTTCAGCGATGGGTAGATGACGTCGAGGTGGCGGTCTGAAAAGCGGGGATTTTGGTTAATCCCGCATATAAAAACCACCTTTCAGCGACGGAAACGTCTGCCGGACGATTCCGGCAGTGTATTGGCTATTGACGCAGATACGATCGGCCTGGCCCGTCGTCCATTCTTCGAACGAGTCAATGACTTTTCTAAAAAAATGGATGATTCTTTTGCATTTTTTGTATAGGTCTAGAAATGTCTAGTAACTTAATAGGCACCATTTTAAATTTGTTTTTAGTAACACAAAACTATATAACAACTAGAGTAACTATCGAAAAGCTTTAGCAAGTTTTGGAAAAGTCGAAATTTTGGATAAAAACGGCCATTTATGGTAGAAAATAAATATTTTTTGTATTATTTATTACAGTTTGTAAAAAATTTTTACGTTTAGGAATAGTAAATAACAGGCTAGAAACGCTTCCGCTATTGATGTTTGAAAATTTGGCTCCAAATAAAAAACCTTTTATGTGATGCGAAAGACAAACGAACATTTAAAATTCTCGAAGAAAAACAAACCTGTAAAGTGACTTCAAGAACGTTTCCCGTTTCCTGTGAGCAGCA